TTAACAGATAAGGTTCCCTCTCTATTTGCAGTGTTACCTAAATAATCTATTACTGTAGGGAATAACTACAGTATTACAAATACTAAGTTAAAGTTATTTTGTTAACTAAAGCCATTGGCAAATATTTAAGAATGGCCAAAGCATATGAATTGACAATAAAGAACAGATACAAGATAGCAAATTTCTTACTTCTAGCATCTAGTGGGATAAAGTAAACACCTTACAATTTTTTTTAACTTTTTTTTTTTTTTAATTTTGGCTTAATTTTACTTAGCTAGAAGCAAGCCTTCATGGTGCACCTGGTAAATGCTTAGGATAGAATATGCCAATGCAGCCAATTCCCTGTCAAAAATGACTGGAACATTTTATGGAAAACTTGGTTCTAGGAATAACATAACTTGGGAAAACTACAAAGAGTATTTGCAATAGTTTGCTGTATTGCAGTCCTGTAATTCGTGGAAGAAATTTAAAGAGTCTATGAATCTGTGTTTTGCAATTAGCACAGATACATTGTGGAACCCTGGAGATGTGTAATTAATATTAACATGTAGCAAGTAATATTCAGGATTAAAGCATAAAATCTACAGTGGTCTCTTCTGTGAGCTGATGTGCACTCTGTGTGAGAAAATGGCTAAGTTGCAAACTTGCGGTCTAATCAATTAGAGATAGCAGAGACCCCAGCCCCAGGTGGATCAGGTACCCAGGGAATTCAGGTGGATTTCTTAGCTACAAGCTAGCTACTTGGCTGTGGGTCTTTGTCACAGAACATGCCGCAGTTGAGACAACTGCAATACACAGAGCATCACCATATAATTTCAGAAGGCTTTAGGTATTCACCCCTACAGAGTAACACCTTACCACACCAGAAGGCTTCAAGCATCTGCCCTTCTTGTTCTTCAGCCCAACCTTTTATACCCTCATGTTCATGCATTGCCCCTGTGTGCCCTCTGCTCCCTTTGTGGTTGGTCAGTGCCCCTGGCCACTCCATGGCTCACTGCTGTCAGTGCTGCTCACCTGCTGCTCACAGCTGTGCCATGGGGATGAGGCTCGGCACCACAGGTCTGCTCTAGCTGAAGGGAATAGCACTATAACTGCAAACACCTCAAAAACACTTCCTTCTACTGATCAGTCCCATGTATGTTTTGCTGTGTTTCACCCAAACTGTTAATACAGAAGCTATTTTTGTGGAGGTCCTAGACCGTTTGATGGCATGGTGAATGTGGGGAATGATAGGTGGTGCTGAATGTCATGTGCATGTCACTCACATAAGGCTGTGCTATCTGAGCAATTTGCCCAGGGGCTGCATAAAGTGAACAGAAGACATCTGATTACTGTTCAACTCCCTAAATGAAGAGTTTGTAATAGAAGCATGGTTTCCAATTATGTCTTATTTGAGAGCATATCTTGGTAGTGCTTCACCTTCAAGGAAGGCTCAGATTATTAACTCCTCAGTCCCTGTCCCAGGCTAATCACAGGGAAATGGTACAGGTACTTCAGTGGTCCTGGACAGTAAAAATGAAGGTGAAAAGAATATGTTTTCTGTTTGGCATCATCAGAAAACCATCTGGATTTAGTTTTGTCCTAAATTCTGATTGTGCTGCATCTAACTTAGCTCTTTCAACAGTGATGAGTCTCTTAACATTAATGAAGCTCAGAGCATTTTCCAAAGGTAGCATTGTGATTGCTCTTATTGAAGATGAGAGGACTGAGACCCAAGGAGGAAAAATGTGTTTGCTAGTGGCCTCTAATTGATATCTGTTGAAACATAGAAATTCTAAGATAGTAGTCAATTCAAGTTTTCACTGTAGCTAATGAACCTATCTTTGAATCATGTAGTGTCCAGGCTCTTAGGACCCTTGTACAGGTTCCAGATTTCTCTAGATCATTTCAGGACTGAAGGCTGAATCTCAAGGTGCCGCTCACTGTTGTTCCATACTCACATGTAATTGAGTCTGGACAGTATGGACATGCATGATCAGCATCAATCTGTTCACATAGTCTGCTGTGAATTCCTGAAGTTGTATGCCCAACCACCACAGAGAAGAAAATCAACGGTGGCCTCTGTTCAACAAGTGGTTGAGGTTGCCTGAGCTCTAGACTAAGAATGCATGGGTACATCACACAAGAGAGTGGCACTGTGACAGACTGTGACAGCGCAAAGAACATACTCTGCATTATGTGCAACGAGCATTCCTGTTGTAACATAGTCCATGCCTGCATGCCAGAGTCTGCCTTTGGCTGCTGCCTTCGGATAAATTAATGAGAGATGGTTTGTTGTACTGGGAAGAAAACACAGTCCTCTTACCTTGTGTAAATGCAGGCAAAGGAAGAACAGTAAAATATTTGTCTATGGTAGGGCCATGTCATCTAGTTACCAGTCTACCAGCTGTCAGGCTCCTGACTCACACGTATTGCAAACTTGACTGTTTAATATCTTCCACTTCACAGCAAAATTTCAAAGTCCTTTTAGGGCTTATGGGCTTTTTTTGATACCATCTTATTGCAGTGTTTCCTAAGAGCACCTTTGAGGTAGTATTTTCAAGGTGTCAATTCTGCCTGGCCCTTGAGTGCACTCAGTGGCATGAGGGGATGCTCTTCAAAGCCACCCTGAGTGCAGGCTGAGGTCTGAGAGGTCTCCAGGACCTGTGAGAAACATTTGTGGTGAAAACCAAGGTCAGAGCTACATGCCTTTGGGAGCACTGGACATGTTTATCACTGGGGTGGAGGCAGAGGGAGGGAACGGGTAGGGAATGTTTGGTTTTTTGCTGAGGTTTTTTTTGTTCCTTTAGGTGGAAGGTTTTGCTATGTTGTTCAGTTATTGCTTCAGGTGGAAAATAATTTCCCACCTAGCAGCAAAAGTATGCCTGGCAAGGTGAGAAGTGTTTTAGGAGCAGCACTTCATAGAGTTGATTTTCAGCCAAAGTCAAGTCCCTCTGGGAGCAGTTACAACTGGTGATATTTCTTTGCAGAGTTGAAGCTACTCTGACTTTGGTGACTGAGGAAGCCTCCTGCTCTCTACAGGAGCTGTACAAGTGATATCAACCCATGTCACTTTTTCTTCTGCCTAGACAGTTAAGGCAGGTCTCTGAACTCTCAGACCCAAGCTGGAGCAGGAAAGAGGCCGTGTTGCCATAGTAAAGCAAAAGGCTCACTAACAAGAGTATGTGAATTAATGAAATCCAGGAACTATTTAAATACTTCTGTGACCCATTCTTCAGGCCTAGAACTCCCATTTATTTTTTCATTATAGCATGAAGAAATAATCTTCAGGTGAATGAAGGAATTTCAAATTAGTACATTTCAGAAGGTATGAAATAAAAGTATTTTACCAAAACACATATTGATGGAAGTCTGGAAATTACATGCTTTTGAAAAAAAAAATGTTAAAAGATCTATCAATCACAGTGCCTTTATCTGGAGGAATCACACTGGTTACAAAGTGTATACGTCAGAATCTATTGGCCACTCAGGTGCAATCACTATGAGTTAAGACATGTAGTATTATATTGCAATTGTAGTAGCATGTATGTGTGTTTCATGGCCAGGCTCTGAAAAGGAGCCCAGTTGTAGCCACAGAGAGCCAGTATTTTAGGATCTAAATAAATTATTTTAATTTTCGTATATTCTGGGAAAAAACTCTGAGCTGGTGTGAACAACCTAGAATATTTAGTCTATCCTCCAGTTTTTTTTGTTTGTTTTGGTTTTTTTTAAATCAGGGACCCATATATTCACTGAACAGTTTAGCTTCTCATCTGTCTTTTTTTTCTTTTAATCTTGTGCCAGGTGTTTAAGAAGCGGGAAGCAGTGGTATTTCAGTAACCTGCTTTCGACATTATTTGCATACCTTTGTGTTTTTCCATGGTGATCAATGCTCAGCTGTAGTGGAACTTCTGTCAATAAATTTTATGTGCAACTGCTGGAGTAATTTTTTTTTAATTAGTCCATTCTAGGAATTCCAATGTCCCTTTATAAATATTTATATTTTCAATATGTCTTCATTTAATTGAGAAGAATTTTCACATTGTTTTCAGATAATCACAGGTAGTATGCATGATGATATGTCAACACTCTGACCTTTTAGCTTCTCTATTTCTCTTAGTGCATCCACATTTTGTTTGTCCGTGTGTATTATGTTTTAGTTTATTTATGGTTTTCCTTCATGGGCTGTTGGAACAGTCAGTGTTTTCCATGCAAACACCTTAATAAACTGCAGAGAAAGAAAATATGCTATTGCATACTAGCAGGTGTCATGTAGACTGTCTTGAATACTTTAATCAGTGTGTACAGCTACTAGAAATCCACACTGAAATAATGTTTGATTTGTCCAGAACTTTCTGGCACACAAATACAAAGCATTTAGTACTATATTCTGGTTTGTACATTGAAAGAGTGTTGGTTTTGTACTCTTTGATTTGGAATCTCTAGGAACTTACCTCAAAATCCTGGATAAAACTGAATGGAGACCTGTAGAATTGATTAGCATGTGCAAATCATATTACAAAGTAATCCTGCTGATTTACTGATTTTAATTTTTGAACTGTAGTGGTTTTATTCCTTTAATTTTATTGAAAAGTCTTCTTTTGCAAATAAATCCCCTATAGCTGGTGGCTCTGCTTGCTAAAAGAGAGTCCTCTGTACCACAAGTTATTAACGCATCAGTAACTTATACTGATTAATTCAACTTCATGTAAATCACAATAAAAACTTTTTGCTACAGCTCAGAGGTGATCAACAAGATGCTACAGCTGAAAAATACTTCCTCTTGAGGTTTTGCTGAATTTTTTTTTTACTTTTTCAAATTTTGATTGTTGTTACATACTTCTAGAAGCGCATTGCAGGAAAGGTTTGTTCTTTTTGTTCTCTGTCACTTCTGAAGTATAACTTGTTTTGCTACTAGTGCATGTGATTCCACGTATATGACAATATTGAAAGTATTCATTAATTCTTGCAGCTCAGCCTTAGACTGAAATTTAATAGCATGTATGATTTGGTTTTCCCAGGTTATACAAGTCTTTGTCTGAAGGATTGAGTCTGAAGAACCAGCCTAACTGTGCTTTTAGTACTTCTGAAGATGGACTGGAGGGAAGGGGGGATGTTATGACCCTAACCTATGGCCAGATTGAAGAGCTGGCAGCTCAGCTGCAGCAAACTCGATCAGAGCAAAAGGACACCGAGCTGAAGCTCCAGAAAGCCCTGGAAGCTTCTCAGGAGGCCAATGAAAAAGTTCAAAAGTAAGTCACTTGCCTTCCAACAAAAATTGCAGTTGTAATCCATAGGAAACATTTTTTTCTGGTCTATATAGGAAACATTTTTTTCAGTTTGTCTATAACTGAAAGTGTGGCAGTACTCAGAAAATGTCCTTTAAAATTATTCTTCCTTTGTCAGCTCATTTCCTACTCAGTGTGAAGCTGATCATTTTAACAGTTTTGTGCTATTAGGCAAGTCAGGGTACCTCTCATTACTGCTAAGGAAATTGCTTCCTACATGTGCAAGGCACAGAGAAAGTATTTCCATCTCTTGTGAATGGTTTTCAATGTTCTTTTACCCTGTGGCAATCCTATGGCTACAGAGTATTTCCCTTTATAATTGCATGGTAGAATATTACAGTTCTCATTTTTGGTCTGTTACACATCTGGCAAGTTTCATGCCACAGTAAATGTTTATGGGGTTGTTTAGGGATGGCTTCAAAATCTCACTGAGAGTCACAGGAAGTCTCTGAGTCAGTGAACAGAAGAGATTGTATTCTCTTTCCCATCATGAGTTTCCCTGTTAAAAGGTTACTGAACTCCAAAACCTGACGTTCATCTCTAGCAAAGTACTTATTGTCGTGTTTGTTATTAGTAGTGCCTCATCACTGCGTTACATTCATCAACTGCAAAGTTCTCCTCTCTCACCCTTCCGAGGTGGCTGATGTTGAGCTGATGCAAATTGTCTGTCTGTCCATATATGTCTTCTAATTTTAATGTCTACAGCATATTTACAGAGTAGACAGAAATTGGCTTATAATATATTGCAAGGACCTAACAAAAGCTTTTCTTGTTTAATAAAACCACATGCTGAATTCTTCTATTTTAAAATAGTTATATTCCTATATTTTAATTTATTCATAACTACATAAAATATAATTAAGGTATTTATAGATGAAAGTGCGTCTTTTTAGTCATCTGTTTAAACCCTCCAGTGATTTTATAATCACTCAAGTCTTTATTCTGAGTGCTTAGACACATTTGAAACTTTGAGAGGTATGCGCTTGATAAAAATAAACCTATTAAAAAATTAAGTTCTGGTAAAGAGAATATTGGTGGAGAATAGTGGTGGAACCTTTTTAACTGTGTTGTTACATCTAGTTTTATTTATAAATGTTTAATAATATAGCTATTTAAGCAGAGGTTGAGTTTTTGCTGTTTTTTTGCTTTCCAAAGTGAAACAATCTTGTTTAATCCCGTGCACATAGTGTGGCTAAAGTAGAAGTGCAGCCACAAAGTGAATTAAAGTAGTGGTGATGCACCGCTATAGTGAAAAGAATTTACGTAATTTAACATGCTCAACTACTTGGGAAAATTTTGGTCAGGTTAGTTTTCATTATTGTTAAGATCAGACGACTGAGCCTATAGCAAAATCAAACAATTGGTTGAAGTCTTTTGATGACAATAGCATGCCCTTTTTACCACGAAACTGTGGAAATGCTCTGCCCGTCTTCCCAGCACCCGGAGTCATCCACCCCCATCTTATAATTCAACCTGCAAACAGATTAAGCAGCTGAGTTTGTGGAAAGTGTGTTTACTTTGAGCTAAGAACCCTTGTGTGACACTATAGAGATTCCTCTGACACCTCTGGGAGAGCTACACAGACAGTTCGTACTCATCAGCAGGGAAACCAGGCTGAGAATTCCCAATTTCTTTGTAACCTCAACTGCTTCATACAAATCAGTGTTTGGCAATTAGGCAGGAACTCATTTGTTAGCTTAGCATTTTATTTAGAAGATGTAGGATGTTCTACATTTCAAAAAAGAACTGACAATTTATAAACCTGTCAACTGAAAGGCTTTTTGGTATTAATTACAGTAGTATTAATTATTGTCACTGCCTTAAGAGGATGCTTAGTGTAGTTTAAAATGTGTCACTAAAATTCATAGACTAAAGACCGTTATAAAATAATCTATTTTCTTGACTTCTTTAAATGCTCAACTGAAATTGAATTCTGACATATGAAGGAAGTCGTTTTGTCAGCTGTATGAAGTAGTTTCTCAATATTATTCAGTAAAATAGCAACACTTAAAAATCAGAAGAGTGAAACATTTATGACCTTCATTAAGAAAGAACATCATTGTAAATAAGAATGTTGAGAAAATATGTACTTTGTATCTTCATACAATGTAGTTTACTAGTTTTACACTGCCTTGGCTAATCTGTCCTCTGGCAACACTAAAGAATTTTTTAATATTCTTAAAAGCTTCAGTGTTTGCATTCAGCATGATATGCAGAGCTTAAAAGAGAGTTGTAATTTTCCACAGCATTTCAATCATGTCAGCCATTTGTGTACCCACCAGTAGTTGTTGCTTTCTTGACGTGAGACCCAAGTCAGGATAGTGGTCCTGTGCTTTCCATCAGAACAAAAAGCATCTAAAAAAATTTCTTGATCTTATCCTACATGAAACAGCAGCTGTGAACCAGAAGGGGGATGTTTTGGTATCTACTTATAGTCAACTTGGGCATAGTAAACATCTGTTCATACTGAAGTAGGGTGAAGATCTCCCGTTGGCTAGCTGCAGTGTGAGATATAAATTGAGACTGTCTGCTCCTGCCTGTGAAGATGATTCACCATCCTAACAGGGGTGCTGGTGTAAAACAAGGAACATTGATACTCAGAGGGTGGCCACATAGCATTTGCATTTGCTTGAATCTCTTTTGATTTTGAGACACTACCAAGATACACTTATACTTTTAAGAGAGCACTAATCTTTATAAAGCAAGTACACATTTTAACTGTGGTCTATGTAAATAAGTACATGTATGTACACTCAAAACAATACATATTTATTCAATAGACTATTATGATCTCCACAGTAATATTTTTAATCAATACTCTGGAATGGCTATGACTATAATTTTCTAGATTTAATTAATGTTTCTATTTTGTTTACAAAGAATTAGGACGGGAGCACAGAAATCACCAGGAGTGTTGTTATAGTAGCACAGGCCCCCTGCAAGTTTGTCCTGCCTGAGAAGCCAGAAGCCAGCTGGTGCATTCCCAGCAGGGAAATAGGGCTGACCTGGAGAAGGTGGCTGGGAGAGCCTGTGAATTAATTAATACCTCTGCCAACAGAGGAAGCGAGGCATTTTAAAAACGTCCTTCCGGCTGGAACCTCTGGGATTGTGGAGTGGCTGCTGATGTCAGTGAGATCAGAGCAGGTTATAATGTAATACCAAATCAATATTAGCCAATTATCAGTAAAGGTTGAGGCCACTTTTGATGTTTTTCCAGAAAATGTTCTATTTTTCTGCCACAGCTTTGCAGCTGGAGTGAATTTTAATGCAATTTGTCTGTTGGGGCTTCTGGGGGCTTCTATTTTTTTCTCATGATTTAATGATTCTAGCTCAGTAAAGCGCAGCTCTGCATGTAAGCACAGCTACACTTGCATAGTCGTGTAGCTGTGTGAAGAGGCAGAGGAGGGTGAGTGGGTAGAATTTCTATGTAATCCTCTAAAAATAAACACAAATCCACAAAGTAACAGTGCAGTACTAAAATATACAGGTATGAAAATAAGCATAAATGGTGAGAAGGATCCTGCCTGCTTGTGTACTTTGTCAAGGTAGCTCTGACTATGAATAAAGCTAATATAAAAGTGATGTAAACCAGAAGTCATTGCTTCATTTGTCCTTAACTGTTTATTAGAGACCTTTTCAATTTTCTTTTTCTTCCTTTTAAAGAGGAAGTCAGGAGAATCACAGCTTTGAATAAAAGTTTTCAGTTGATTGAATACATAAGAAAACTAAGAAAATACATAGAAAACATACTAATTCTTCTGAATTAAATTCTATCCTTAATAACATTCTCTTTACCCCTTAAGGTCTGATTTTTTTTTTGACCACCTAAATTTCGTTGTGACTGGAACACATCCTTTATTTGTTTAGTCTTGAATTTCCGTCCAGCCTTTTGAAAATGCTTTCTCTGCTTTTGTATTTGTTCATTTATTTTCTTAGCTGATGCTGATGTATAAGTTCATCTATGAAACAACAAAAACAAAAAGTTATTACCAACAGTTGACACGGATGAAAACAATACAAAAAATGTAAAGAAATAAGAAGCAAGCATTTATTAAGTAGTTAGTGAACTGCAAGTAAAACTAATCTGCCTTCTGAGTGCGGGAGCTGTGTGTATTTCACATCAATGTCCAACACTTCTTCACTGCTGGCTGGAGGGTCTAATCTTTCCCAGAATGATCAGAGCAGTGCAGTTGAAGAACAAGGATGAATATTTGAATAATCACACCACAATGTGAGGTGACCCTCCAACAGGGGACTGACCAGATACACATATGGATTTTGGGAAGAAGCTCTGATGCTCTTTTTTAACACAGCTGTGAGAAGAATGTGGCTAAGACCCAGTAGTCTTTCTGGAGTATAGCTGGCAAAGGAAACCATGAGGAGAAGAGAATTTAACACATGGGTGTAAGGGAGTTCACTTCATTGATGCGATCTGAGGGGAATGTCTAATGACTGGAAGAATCAAACTTGGCAATGAAAACACAAAGCGCTTTTCATCAATTCAAATGCTGACTCTAAAGCTGCAGATGGTTACCTCCAGCCTTGCCTATTCAGTGTGGGCTTGTATAAAATGGCACTTTGGTGAATACTAATAGATCAAAACAAAGATTTAATAACATAAAGATGTGGTGTTCATTTTTAAATGAGGATACAGGTCAGTGTCTCAGAAAAGAGTGAAATAAGTATCCTTATGTATGGGTCTAAAGTCTCTGGAGATTTTTAACTGCAAACATATCTTTAGTGTACAGATTGTATTCCGTGCGGGGCAGCTATGCAGGGAACAGGCTAAAAGCAAGATTTCAGAATTATTATACTAATTGAGCCTCTTTGCAAGATGCAAATGTTGTTAACTAGTTATCTCCTTTTAAAATCATACCTACATATATTTAGCTGAAGTATACATTGTAGCTTGTGTGTGTTGAGCTACTTGTTGTAGGAAAGAATGGAGCTAGTTAATTAGAAAT